GATGACAGAGCTGCTGGCCTGATGCCATGAAGCCGCGCCAGCCCCCACCATTCGCTCACGCACCGTGGGTCACAGTGGTGTGCATTAATATGAAGCCAAAAGCCCCCTCACTAGGGGGACCTCTGGGTGACATTTTGATGGAGACCACTACAAAGTGGCTCTGAGCAGGATTTAAAATTAAGCAATTGGTTTTCCATGTTTACTTGTAAGTCTGTCCAAGGCCTGGGCCCCTCGTCTGGAGGTGGCAGCAGTCTCATAGCAATGAACCTGTATGAGTCACTGGTCTTGGCTGCGCCCTGCAGTGGCTTGTGATGCTGTGGCCCTTTAAAGAACAAGACATGGCCACAGCTAAGGATACCTTGCTCCAACCCAAACTAACTAAATAAAGACTGTAGCTGCTGGCATCTCACTCCTGTCCTGAAGACCTTCCTGGAGATAACATGATTCTCTTAAATTAACAAAATATATTACTTGGAGAAGTCTTTGTATGTCTCCCAAGGTCCCGCTCAGATTCCTGTACTTTCTGCAGGATACCCCTCCTTTGTTTGAAAACCAAAGAAATACAGGTTGCCCGAAGAAGTTCTTTACTGTAGCCTCCAGAGGATCTGGAATTCTGTTAGAGAGTTTGATCATCCTGGAGTCACACACCAGTTGTCTCCATTTAAGCTTCTACTGCTCTACACACTCATTTGGGAGATTGTGGGCCTGATCAGTCCACAATAACTAAGTTGTAATATTAACCTATTAGTGTTTCCTATAACAAAGACCTGAAAACAAAAACTTGAGGCCAGATGGAAGTATCACCCTTTATTTCTTTCTATCCTTCTGAATACCACTTAAAAAAAATATAGGGGGCCTGCCGGTTAGCTCAGTTGTTTAAGCACCTGCTCATGCAAACATAGTCAGGCACAGGATACCGCAGTTTGATCCCCAGCTCCACCTGCCTTACCAGACCTGCCCTGGGCAGGCAGCTTGAGAAAAAAAAAATCCTTCTAAAAACAACATATAAAATTGGGCATGGTGGTGCATACCTGTAATCCCAGCACTGTGATACTCCTGAAGCAGTAGGATCACAGTGAGTTTGAGGCAGGCTGGGCCACATAATAAGTGAGTCCAGGCCAGCCTGAACTACTTAAGCAAGATTCTGCCTCAAAATAAAATTTTTTTAAAGTAAATAAGTAAATAAATAAGAACACATGGGCTCTCTCAGCCATTGCAGTACATTGAGCTCCACAGAGACAGCACCAGGGCAAGTGAGAGTCAGAGGAGAACTGGGCGACTCTGTACCTCCACTGAGAAAAACAAGTAAACATGGGCAAAGGAGATCGTAAGAAGCTGAGAGGCAAGATGTCATCATATGCATTCTTTGTGCAAATTTGCTGAGAGGAGCACAAGAAGAGGGGCCCAGATGCTTCCATTAACTTCTCAGAGTTTTCTTTGGGTTGAGGTTACTTGGTGTTCTGTATGCTTCGGTGACTTAAATGTCAGATTGTTTCCTCATATTTGGGAAGTTTTCTGCTATTATTTCTGCCCATATTTTTTAATGTCATTTGTATTGACTCCTTTCTCATTGATGCCTATTAGTCTCACATTGTTCATCTTTGCATCATCTTGCAGGTGATGGATTATTCTTTCCTGCATCCTCGTT